TTCTGCCCCAACCTGAAGTTTTTCTGTTCTTATAATGTCTATGAAATCCAGCCCTAATGGGCCACCAATCATGGGCCTTCCGCCCTAATCCAGTTCTCTCCCTCTTTTTTTTTAATAAAAAAAATTCTTTCCATTATTTTATTAACAATTTTACTAAATATTAACAAATATAATAACTACAAACTAAAATAAAATATTAACAACTATTTAAATACATAAATATTAATAAATATAAAATTAATAGATATTAACAAATATATATGTAAAACAAACTAAAAAAAACAAAATTTAATATTTACAAATAAAAGAGCTATATATGTGCACAAAATATTATTAATAATAATATTTTAAAAAGAAAAAGTTTAGGAAATTAAGAAAAGAATTAATATTCACAGAAATGTCTTTAGGCCATGTGTCATGCTTTAATTGGTCAAAAAGATAAAGTTCTGAAAAATCAACCAATTGCGAGCGGACACGTGTCTAAATAACAAGAAATTATCGGGAAATGCAAAAATCAAAATAGAATCAAAAAATGCAAAAAAAACTGAAAATGGGTAGGACAAATTTAGGGTATGACACTCTCCCTACTATAAATAAAACCGCAAAATACTCACCAGGAAAAAACGGGAGGGGGCCTCTCTTTTCTTCAAAGGACCTCACTTCGTCATCATACAAAAATCTTTCTCCTCCCTTCGAATACTGTCAGCTACAACCTTTCACTATTTTCCATCTTCAAGCCATAACAAAATCACGAATTTTCTGCAGCGCCATTGAAAAGAAAAAACATTCTCCGTTCTTCCTCCATCTTCACCGGGCACAAAAAATTATTTTCAACCAACAGAAACTTCAACCTTTTCAATCTCCTCTCCATCTCTCCATCATCTCACGTTCCACCAACCACCCGCCGCAGAACAGAATCGGAAGAAAGAGGGAAATATAATAGAACAAATCAAGACTTGCAATAACCAGAACAACATCATCTGAGAACACAAACCCTCACCGTGAAACCCACTCGCCGCCCATCTCACCTCCATGTTCGTTATGATAAGGCCGCTGCGGGGACGAAACCTCGAGATCTGAAACAGAGAAAGAAAGGGAAGAAGGGAAAGTTGCTTGTGATGGGAGAAAAGAAAGTTGTGAAGAACTAAGGAAATAGGAAGAGGAAGCCATGCGAGACGCAGCGAAATCAGTGTGAAGGAGAGGAATGTGAAGCGAAGGAAAAGAAGAAAAGAGGAATGCGTTTTTCCTTCAGGGTTGAGTAATTTGATTGTTTAATCCTAATTTCTTTTTATGTTTTATTTTTTCTTATTTTTAATATTAATAATTAGGGTTAATTTGTTTTGGTCCCGCAAGCCCACTTGATTTATTTTCATATTTTTCAGCCTTTTAATTGAAGATTTTCCCATCTAATCCTATTTTACTAGGTTGTTTTATATTTCTTTTTTTAGAACATCATTTTAACTTTGTTTAAAATTATCTTTTAACTTAGTTTGATTATTTAAAATTATCATGTTAATTATATCTTAATATTTTAATTAGGATTAGGAGCAAGTATTTAGATTAATTAATTTTTATACTTTCAATTAAGTGATAAAACTCAAAAAATATTATTTTCTTAACTAGCTTTCGAATATTAGCTTTTTAGTTTTGACTTTAGTTTAGAATGTAATTATTTAAGACTTATATTTGACTATACATAATTTTTTTTTCTATTAATTACTTTCTTTAATCAATTCAATTCTTAACTTTATGAGTTTATTATTTAGTTTTCTTTACTTTGATATCAATTTCAATGCTTATTCTTGATTATTCTCTTGCTCTTTATTTTGTGATCATTATCATTCACCTAATTTATGTCATATAATTGCTCTTTGTCTTATTCTATTTTGAGATTGTTACAAGTTGTCGGTTCCCGATTCCAAAGGAAAGGATCCCATAGTTGATTGCTATGTCATGTTGGATAGTCGCGCATCCTTTCTTCCGAACCTTGTGAGAGTCTTGTCTGTTATAACCTAGTTTAGGTCTAGAGTTTGTGAACTCTATGTAAGTTTCATGGTTATGAACACTTACTTTCTCTTAGAACCTTAACCACAATCAAGAGTTCATCATCCTTAATAGGCCGAACTACGGAGGCTCTGATTCCCCTTTCCTAGTCAGGATACGTAGGCACAAGATGTGATATCTTGTTGAGCCCTCTAACCTCTAACCTCTAACCACTAACAACTAACTATTATCTCCCTCCTTTTGGTCTAGTTAGAACCAATTAGTCTTACAACTTAGAATTAGATGTAGAGTTGGTAAACTCTATGTGGGTATCATGGTTATGAGTACTCACATTCCTCTTTGACTTTGGTTAAAGTCAGCCCTAGTTAGGATTTTTAACTTAGACTTAGAGAGTTGGTTAACTCTATGTAAGTATCATGATTATGAATACTTACTTCCCTCTGGAACCTTAACCACAGTCAAGAGTTCTTCATCCCTAGTTAGGTGAACTACGGTTGCTCTGATTCCATCCTAGTTAGGATACGTATGCATGATATGCGACGAGTTGGCGAGCATACTTAGTGTATATACCTTAGGTGTGTACCTTAACACCTATCACTTAGCAAGAAAACTTTAGCATAACACAATACTAACAAAAGGTTCATGTAGAGTACTACAAATACTTAGGATGCTAACACCTTCCCTAGGTATAACCAACCCCCGAACCATAGATCTCTACCTATGTTGTTACATAGCGCACTTAGGATTTTCTTCGATCTCTACCCTTTCCTTTGGATAAATTAAAGCAGGGTGGTGAATTTCATGATTTTTTATTCAAGTTAATTAATAACTTGATATCTTATTCTCACTGCAACAGTACTTTATTACTGTAGGATGGCATGAATTTTTTTGTTGAAGTAAAACTAAAAATGACATAATCTTAGTTCCGTAAATCTAAATGAGATGTTGTTTGAAGCTTTGGAAAGCTAACACATATGACTATCCCATAGTGATGTATAGAGATGCTAGATGGTTAATTTAAATTGTAAAATTGATTGTTTTATTTGTAACATAACAACCAATTGTAACGAACAAATGGTTAATTGTTGTAAATGGGTGATTTAATGATGAAGGATGTTAAGGTGATTTAACATGGTTGAGTGTTCTGCAGTTGCTTATTCTATGTGTGAATATATGATGTGAAGTGAAATTATAATCATGTGAATTATTGTACATGCTTGTTTATGACTGATGATATAAGTAGTTCGGAGTGAGAACTACTGGAGATGAATTAAATGCATGATTGTTTACAGTTAGAGTGGGACTTTAGTCATTGTTGTGTTGTTGTTATTACATGATTATTTATATTCAAAGTGAGGATGAATTCATTTCTATGTTGTTGTTGCATGATTGTTCACAGTCAGAATGAGGATGTATTCATTATGGTGTGGTTGTCATTGCATTGTTATATGACATGCATCATATGTTTTCATTGTTATGAAAGACGCGAGTCATGAGTTCAGAGTGGGGACTAGTGACTTGTCCCAAGCTTAGAGTGGTGGCTTGGATCTCAGATTTGGGGCTCGGGGTTCAGATGTTAGGACCAAGTTCATAAGAAGAACCAAATGTTGAGTTGGTATTGCATGCATATAGAGTTGAGTCGTGAGTCCAATTCAAAGTGGGGACAGTGACGAGCATTAGTTGTGTCGATGTTGCATTGCATTACATAATGGTCGTTCAAATGAGATGTTTGTGCATTGTTAATTACCCTTGTACAGATTTGTGTGACAGGTGATTAATCGTGATGTGGGTGAAATATGAATACATGATATTGTGGTGCATGTTTAATATGTGCATGCTTTATGATGTGTGAATCTACTCTGATTATTTTGTGCACCAATTATTATTTGAACGTATTCTCACCCTCTTTTTGTGTTTTTATGTATGTGTTTCTCTGGAGTACAGATAATCAGGTACTTGAGTATGAGCTTAATGCAGAGGAGGGTGTTGTGCCTCTTTAGTTTCCTGTCTACCGAGTTTATATTTGGAGTCACTCTCATATGTAACATGAAGGAAACAAGTTGTCCTTTTATTTTTTCTTCTGTTGCATATCTTTTTTTATTTTGATATTGAATAACTTTTCAAACTTATGTTTGATGAGGCTTTTTCTGTCAACTATTTTATAATTTTCGCTGCTAATCAAATGATTCAATTTTTTGCTATGTGTTTTATATATGCTTTGGTGATGTTTGAGTAACATTCTACTTGAAGTATTTATGTATTATACATATTTTATTTAATTATTTGTCGACTCGGGAAGTATGGTATTACATGGGACCTCGTTAAAAGTCGAATACTTGATCCCTGTCGCTAGTATATTGCTTGATATTATATCTAATCAGAAAACTTCCTGCATTTCATGTTGAATTAGACAAAAATAGTTTTAACCATCTACCACATATAAGTCTAACGACGCTCCATTTTAGGTATGATCTTACTCTCAGTCTCAAACTAGTTTTCTACTTTTCTCAAACTATTTTAGTTGTTCTTCATGATCTGCCGTACCAAAAATTCCTGCCACTGCTTCTGAATAACTTATTCCCTTAACATTGTGTATTTCTTGTTCCAACTTGAAACTAATGTTAAATTTAACCTCAAAATTTTGAGGCTCTAAAAGTTTTGAACTTAATGATCACATACACAAAAGGGTAGAATTTAATTAGATATGCATTTAAGCTCTTTCATTTATAATCACATATGAATTTGGACTTTGAAACACTAATGAGACAAAAAAATCATAAAAATACCCTTTAACAATAGCATTAGTTAATGAGTTTATTAAAAGAAACTTTTTCTTAATATTCACTCTTCTAATTTGTCAGCTCTGCTCCACTCTAATTTTTTAGGAGTAGATATTAACATAAAGGTATCCGTGAAGGAATTTGTTAAAAGAAACTGTCTTAGAAATACAAATTATTATTACTTGAATCAATGTAACGACTACACCATTACTTGAATTAAAAGAAACTCAGTTCCATCAACTTCACAAACTCATGGAGATCAATTAATTCATCTCCATTTTGATCAACAGCATTAATCATTTTCTGACATTCCACAAAGTCTCTCTGAAATCCCAAACAACACAACACCCTTTGCAACTCAACAGCCTCTATGAACCCATCTTTGTTTTCATCAAACACATTGAAAGCTTCTTCCACCTCTTCCAAACTAACCCCATTTTCAAACATATTACTAATCTCTTCCTCATCACCAAATTCCTCTATAGCAACCCCATCGAGCTCCTCTCGTAATCCCAGCTTTTCCATCACATCAATGATTTCTTCTTTGCACAGTCTCACACCACTTTGAATGCTATTGTCTAAGTCCTGCTTCACTGCAAGTTCAGGATTAGAGTAATAATAACTTGCAAGAGTGATGATGCAACATTTCATATAATGGAAAACATAGCTCCATAAAATTGAGACAAGACATTTAATTCTAATATTACATAGGAGAACTCTAGGAAACAAAGATGATTGGAACATTTTTAAGTTACAATATTTGGTCGAATGATACTATTAAGATCAGATAGAAAGAGTAAGACTATGGTCTAAGTTTATAGTTGAGTATTAATGTTTGGGGTTCTTGGGTTTATCTACCATATATACTAATAAATTAAATGACCCTTCTTTAGCTTCAACTAGAAGCGTCAACGCTTAACGTTTATTAAGTGTTAAAGTTGTTACTCCACTTACGAAAACATTGCTGCTATGTTTCCAAGAAATAAATGCTTTAAGATTCCATTTGGAATTGCGAGGAAAAACATTGAAATAATGATAAAAATAAAATTTTAAACTTTTTTTAAAAATAAAATTTATATAAGATTCACCTAATTTGATGGAATTTGTAATTATATTGACAATAATAAAATTTTATGTTGGATCGAACTTTAGTATGGTCGAAGGGTAGCTTTTGGTTCGATAGAAATTAAACATGAGGTTGAAGTATGTTCGCATGTTGTTGTCGGAGTAATGCGTGTTGTAGTCGAAGTTTGTTCTAACATGCATTAGTCAATATTGCTAGGGTTGTTAGCATATTGAATTGGGTTTTGCTTGTAAGCCCAATTGTTTAAGTTAACTTATACCCTAAGTTCACTTGTAATGGGTAATTGTTAAAAAATTCATTAGATTAGTGTGCTATTTTTCTTATAAATAGGATGCTAGTTTCTTAATCTTGATATAAGGAAAAATAGGAAGATAAAATTCTAATTTCAAGAGAGAGGTTATTTTGTTATTCTTATATACTTGTAATCTTATTATTAAGAGAAAGGAAAGAATAGCAGTTTATAACCTTGCCATGGACGCTGCATTAACGACAAAAGAAAAGACGGGTATGATTGAGAAAGCCCGCAGCGCAATATTGTTGAGCCTTGGTGATAAGGTTCTTCAACAGATATCAAAGGAGACTACAACATTGGGATTATGGGTGAAACTTGAAAGTTTGTACATGACCAAATCTCTGGTGAATCGACTATACCTGAAGCAAGCTTCGTATTCATTCAAGATGAGTGAAGACAAAGTGTTGGCTGAGCAATTGGATATGATCAACAAGCTGATTCTTGATCTTGAAAATATTGATGTGAAGATCGATGATGAAGATCAAGCACTGTTGTTGTTGTGTGCTTTGCCCATAACACATGCTCACTTCAAAGAAACTCTCTTGTATGGAAGGGAGTCCCTAACCTTTGAAGAAGTTCAATCAGCCTTGTATTCTAAGGACTTGAACAAATGAAAGGAGCATAAACCTTTGACGGTGGGCGAAGGTTTAGCCATTAAGGAAAAATTCTTGTGAAAGGATGGTAAGTTTGACAAGAAGAAAGGTAAAAGTCAACAGAAGTCTTATAGTGGCGAAACATATGGTATTCAATGTTATCACTGTAAGAAGGTGGGTCACACAAGAAAGGTGTACCCTAAACACCTGAAAGATCATGGAGGTAATGGCAATGCAACCATTGTTCAAGATGAGTTTGACTCATTTGATGTTCTTGTGGTTTCAAGTGGCGACTCGAGAAAAGAGTGGATTATGGATTCAGGTTGTATTTGGCACATGACTCAAAACAGAGAATTGTTTGAGGAGCTATGTGATCAAGATGGTGGATCTGTGCTGCTGAGAAACAACAAATCTTGCAAAATTGCAGGTATTGGATTTGTAAGATTCAAGCTTCATGATGAGTCAATAAGATTATTAACTGAAGTCAGGTACGTGCCTGACTTGAAGAAAAATTTGATTTCTCTTGGTGAATTCGACAGAAAGGGATATGTTTTTCAAGGAGAGAAAAGTATCCTAAGATTCATGAAGGGGTCGAAGGAAGTCTTGAAAGGCGTGAAGAAACAAGGCTCGTATACCCTTAAGGCTGAGGTTGTAAGTGGTTCGACAAATGATGTATCCATGAAACCTGTGTCGAAGACAAAATTATGGCACATGAGATTGGGTCATATCAACAAAAGAGGCCTGGTCGAATTGGGGAAGCAGAACCTGCTAGGAGGTGACAAAGTCAAAAAGTTAGAGTTTTGTGAATCTTGCGTATTTGGTAAATTCTGTAGCGCGAGTTTTAATAAAGGAAAGCAAAGAACACACGGATCCCTGGATTACATTCATGCTGATCTTTGGGGGCCTGTAAGGAATCCTTCACACTCAGGTGCAAGGTATTTTCTATCCATCGTTGATGACTACTCCAGAAAGTTATGGGTGTTCATTCAGAAGACGAAGGATGAAACTTTTGAGAATTTCAAAAGTTGGAAGATTCTGGTCAAAACTTAAACTGGCAGAAAGGTTAAGAGATTGAAAACCGACAATGGCCTTGAATTATGCAACGAAGCGTTTAAAAGTTACTGTGTTGAGTCTGAGATTGCAAGGCATAAGACTGTAGCAGGTACTCCTCAACAAAACAGCTTAGCTGAGAGATTTAATCGAACAAACCTTGAAAGGGTTAGATGCGTGTTGGTTAGTGCTGGATTGAAGAAGGTGTTGTGCGCGGAAGCTGTTTCGACATCAGCTTACTTGATAAATAGATGTCCCTCGACTGCCTTGGGAATGAAGACACCTGAAAAAGTTTGGTCGGGAAATCCACCTAGTCTCAACAGACTGAGAGTATTTGGTTGTGTGGCCTATGCTCATATTAGGCAAGACAAGGTCGAACCTAGAGCTCTGAAATGCATGTTCTTGGGATACCCTAAAAGAGTCAAAGCTTATAGGCTATGGTGCCTAGAGCCAGGTCACAGGAGGTGTATCACCAGTCGAGATGTAGTTTTCAATGAAGCAGAGATGACTTTTAAGAAAACTGATGATGCTGACAAAGAGCTGGAACAGGGAGAGATTCCTGTTGAGCTGGAGCATGTTGATGATGAATTGCGTACCCCAAATAAAATCGAAGAAGACGCAGAAGATGTTGTCGAAGATGAGGAGACTGATAATGACTACCTCCTAGTAAGAGACAGGTCGAAGAGAGTCATCAAGTAACCTCAGAGACTTGGGTATGCAGATCTTATAACTTATGCCTTAATCTCTGCAAGTGAGGTTCTAGAAAAAGAACCTAGAGACTATATAGACGTTATGAGGAGTCGAAAGAAGACTGAATGACTGAAGTCCATGGATGATGAAATGAAATCTCTTCATGATAACAACACTTGTGAACTGATCAAGAAACTTGCTGGAGCCAAGTTAGTCAGCTGTAAATGGATTTTCAAAGTTAAGGAAGGAATTGGAGGAGTGGCATCAAAGAGATACAAGGTAAGATTGGTTGCAAGGGGGTTCACTCAAAAAGAAGGGGTTGACTTTAATGATGTGTTCTCTCATGTTATAAAGCACAGATCCATTCGAATGTTGCTTGCCACAGTGGCACAATTCGACCTTGAACTGGAACAGATGGATGTGAAGATTGTGTTCTTGTATGGTGATTTAGATGAAACAATCCTGATGAGGAAACCTGAAGGGTATGTCGAATAAGGGAAGGAAGATTATGTGTGCAACCTGAATAGATCTTTATATAGATTGAAACAATCACCTCGACAGTGGAATAGGAGATTCGACAAGTTCATGACACGCATAAGTTTCATCAGAAGTCAGCTCGACCACTGTGTTTACTTTAGATTTCGACCGGGTAATTCATTTGTTATTTTGTTGCTCTATGTGGATGATATTCTAATAGCAAGCAACAATGTCAAAGATGTAATAAGGGTGAAGGTTGAACTCAATAAGGAGTTCGACATGAAGGATCTGGGAGTTGCGTCCAGGATTCTTGGGATTGACATCCGAAGATATATAAAGCAGTCAAAATTATGCTTATCTCAAGAGGCATACCTACAAAAGATTCTCGAAAAGTTTGGTATGTCAAATTTAAAGCTTGTTGTGACTCTAACAAACTCTCAATTCAAGATGAGTATAGATCAGTGTTCCAACACTAATGTTGAAAGAACTTATATGAATAGCATTCTATATGCTAATATAGTGGGTTCTTTGATGTATGTTATGGTCTGCACTAAGCCTGACATAGCATATGCAGTAAGTCTTGTAAGCAGGTACATGGCGAATCTTGGAGAGGCTCACCGACAAGCATTGAAGTGGATTTTAAGGTACATAAATGGGTCTCTGAATAGAGTCCTAATTTATGGTGGAGCCTTGAGTGAAGATAGTAAAGCAGCAATTGAAGGATATGTCGACTCTGATTATGCAGGTTGTATGGATTCCAGAAAATCTATTTCTGGATATGTGTTTACTATGTCTGGGACAGTAATCAGTTGGAAAGCAACACTTCAGAAGTTCGTTGCCTTATCAACCACAGAAGCGGAATATATTACCCTAACTGAAGCTGTGGAGGAATAATTGTGGCTTGAAGGTTTTGCAAAGGAGCTAAAATTTCAAGGTCGAGTTATCACTGTTAAATGTGATAGTATAAGTGCAATACACTTGTCGAAGAATTTAGCCTATCATGAGCGAACCAAGCACATTAATGTGAGGCTGCATTTCATTAGAGGGGTAATCGAGCGTGCAGAAGTCCAGGTGCTGAAGGTTTCGAAAGATCATAATGATGTTGATATGATCACCAAGATGTTGTCTAGTTGCAATTTTTTCCATTGTACGTAGTTGATAAAGCTACATGAAGAAAGATAGTTTCTTGATGCTATAGAGTTAGATCTAAGGTGGAGATTTGTGAGATGTTGAATCGAACTCTAGTATGGTCGAAGGGTAGCTTCTGGTTCAACAGGAATTAAACATGAGATCGAAGTATGTTCGTATGTTGCTGTCGGAGTAATGCGTGTTGTAGTCAAACTTTGTTCTAACATGCATTAGTCAGTATTACTAGGTTTGTTAGCATGTTGAATTGGGTCTTGCTTGTAAGCTCAATTGTTTAAGTTATCTTGTACCCTAAGTTAGTTTGTAATTGGTAATTGTTAAAAATCTCATTAGGTTAGTGTGATATTTTTCTTATAAATAGGATGTTAGTTTCTCAATCTTGATATAAGGAAAAATCGGAAGATAAAATCCT